GAGAGAGACTATCTTAATGAGACAAAATGACAAAAACAATAAATAATAGAGCTGAAATTCTAATAGAAAGCTGAAAACTGTAATCACAACACTTTACTGAATAAGTGAGTTATCAGAGCAGAATTGCAAACAAACCAACATGAGGCAAAATGCAAAATTTAGCAAAAGGCCAAACAGAAATCATCTTGATCATTTACTATTTATGCAAGTGACAAAACAATAATGAACATTTCAAAAATAAATGTGATGAACCTCACCAAGAACTATACAAAATTAAAAAAATACTATGAAAAAACTAAAACCAACCAGGTGCTGAACAGACATTCTTGCACAAAACAAATAACATGTCAGGAAATCTAAATTAACGAAAGACACACATCCTAGTTTGCAAATAACAATAGGCATGTTAAATAAAAAGAACAAAGACCTCAAGGAAGACAAAAATTGGGAACACACTGAGACAACAATTAATCCAACGAGAACAAGAGTTGAGTGTGACCATTCATGAAAGTTATTCAGTACAACACACAGATTGAAGATACCTTACTCACTATGCAGAAACTCCATAACTGATAATATCTTCTCTTTGCATCGTAAATTAATTCAAATAAAGTGTGACCTATAATTAAACCACATTGATTTCAAAGTTGAAAACTATTATTCCCTAAGGGATGATCCTGTCAACCCCATTACCTCGCACCTATTCACTGAACCACAAAATTTCAAAAGAATTAAAAAATAAAAATTTCTCTTTCTGATTCGAACAAAACATAATATAAAACAAGCAATCACGAAAAAGTAAAGAGAATGGTTTTCAAGAGTCATCTGAGCAAAATATTTAACACACAAAGAATTACTGCTCTTTGTAACAACAACTTTTAATCAATGCAATCACAGTACTCCCTGACGCACACAAAATCGGCTAACCAACAAAGCATGAGAAAAATTTACAATGGCAAAACATGTATATGCAACTAAGTAAATATTGAAGACAATAAATTTCTGAACAGAAGCATACAAAATAACTCATTGCTACCAACTGTAATAACAGTGGGTCTTCATTCCCAATTATACCAACCACCAACTAAGAATAATATTGCTGGTAATACTCATACTACTCTTAATAATAATCACTACGCCTAATGCTACCACTACATAGTCTACTATGTCTAATAACATTATTAAATGTTAGACATGTGAGTGCAAGACTATATGCACCAATACTGTCAAATTTAGGATGAGACACTCAACTAACCTGGACAATAAAAATAATACTACATGCTCATCACTCTGAATGATTATGAACTCCCATGGCAATCAACTACAATTAATAACTGAATGCATCAATATTTACATAAACAATATATCACTTTTAAGACTCAGAAAAAAATTGGGCCACTTCATTTATATATATATAATGTAAAAAACTTGTAACTCTCAATCTCCCAAAGTTAAAGAAGCTGTTAGGAAAATATACATAACACTGAGATTAGGTGGGCATGAATAAAATATCTGACTGGGATGGATGTAAGTTGACGACAAAACCAGACAACACTGTATACAATGAATCCGTCTCGTGAAGCAAAATTAATGTTTATTATTACTGCTTTACATTATGTCATTGTCAAAAAGCAATACAACCAGCAAATATGTACTCTACAAAATTGCATAATTTGCAAGCAAATACTTTAAAGACTATGAGGCAACTAGGATTTAAAGAGATTTACATTTTCATAAAATATGGCACCAAAGGAAATGATGTCAAACAAGATATTCATAAATTCTAAGCAACTTAAGCCAGTATACAACATGCGCCTACTTACTACTTCGTTTCTGGCATTGCAAAAGGATGGCGATTCTCCATTTTCCAGTCAATTCTTATTCCATTTCTTCAGGTCTTCCCCAAAACATCAAAGAATGAAACTGATGCCTGCAAACTTCTTATCTTCACTGATGTAAAGTTCATGCTTCCACACAGTTCATTGAAGTTCCCACTATTTACAATAGTACGACTGACAACCCTCATACATTCACTCATATGCACACACCCACACACAGAATCACTCACCATATTGCACAAAACTATAAATCTTAACCATCAGAGAATGACAAACATTACTTACTCACTAAGTTGACAGATATTCTACACAATTATTATTAAATACAATGAAAGTTGGGCATTAACCATAACGCTTTAGATCATTACATATAGAGCTGTAATCTGCTGTCGTTTTATCTAATGGATACGCCTGTTATTTCTTAACATTTCCTATACTGAGCTATGATACTAAAACATCCCTAAACCGCTAACACCTATACAATACACAAAACCTCTTCTCATAACTGCACGCTAAACTCACCGAGTACGCCTAAATAACTACGCACGTACACTATAGTCTACAAACCTAATCCTCTGAGCACGTTATTAGAACTCAAATTTCGCGATATTTCAAAACATGTTCATCGGCAAGTTATGCCACGACCCTCGCAGTTGCCATATTGGATATTCAGCGTTATTCAGTGGAATAGAGTGGGGAGGACCTACAGACAATTTCGTCATTCGCCTATCTGCCACAACATTTCTCTTTTACCATTGGTCCACAAAACACTTGTGTATTTCCGCGGATAATTTAAATAAAACCATTACAACCAAAGGACTAGAATAAATGTTTTCAAATTAATTCTACGCTTTATCTTCCCTTTTCATCGGCAACAAATTTACAGAAAAAAATTACAGCACGATGCAAAAAATAAAACTGTAAGAATAAATTAAAAGCCCATAATAAACTATTTCATACAATACAAAAAAGCACATTTCAAAATTCATCTTTTGATTAATTAAAAACCGACTGTTTTTTAATTAAACTGTGTACTTAAACAAATTTGAGATGATAAAGGAATATATCAGTTAGAATAACCATGTTCACTACCTCAATTTGGAAGTTTTTTGCGTACATTAAACTTTTAAAGTGCTCAAATTACTAGACACCACAATTTAACACATCACTTCAGTTTACACAGGAATTTTCTTACTATATGTTTTGCTTTTTATCATAAGTAGTACAAGTTTCACAATCAAATGAAAAAATTATTGGCAAGTTGACTGACACACTTTATAATATAAACTATAATAGATAATATGATTACATATGACAATACATTATATGATAAAATTTATAATACAAATAAGAAAAAATTAAAAATGTATTTTTAAGTATTAAGGTTGATTTTTTAACTAAGATAGTTCAAACGATTTATATGTTCATGTGAAATTGATCATAATTATTCTGAAAATAATAATCATCAGTTTAGTACACAAATATATTATTGGCATTGGTGTAAGAAATTAAATCTTTATCAGATTTCTAAGCAATCCTTCAACTTGCATTAGCCAAGATATGTACAATGAAAACCAACATGGAGTGAAATACAGAAATTCTGGTGTTCAATGTAATTTTCTGTACTTCTATAAAGAACCAAATTGAAGAACATATTATTTTCAACTATAAATTCAGTTTGAAACCGAAAAGTAATAAAATTAAATTCTCTAATTGATGCAGGTAATATACAAACCTGTATTAGGTGGGAAATTTAAAGTATTTTATTTAATTACAAATGGAATAGAGGCCAATTCATTGCTAACATGATTTAGACATCACTTTCACATGAGAAATTTAAGTTAACAAGAATAGCCCCCAATAAATTCTCTCGTCCAAAATAAGTATGTGCACCTCTTTACATTAATAATCAGCGGTGTAAGTTCCATGCGGACTGACAGGACCATGTCCGGAGGCCCCCTACTATTTAAGTTCCTGAATTCAAAACAAAATAATAACTATTTTATATTTTATCAGACACAGTCTGTGTTTGATAAAATCATAGAATAAATAAATGAAGCTCTGTTTTTCTATTATAATGGATACAATGCAAAAGTTGACCAACTAAGTTAAATTTTACAATATGTAACCATTGAGAAAAATGAATCAGGAAAACCAATTAAAATGAAAATTAATTAATCTTTCATAGGATTTAGGAATGTCAAAGATCAGCACAAGTGATTTTGATATTGTCGAATGAACAAAGGAACAAGGGTGTGATTTATCTGAATGTGAAGGTCAAGAATATGATGTTAGCAGTTATGAGTGAAAGTGTTAAAAAAAATTAGATAGTGTGAGAAAGGAAATAATTGTCCACAATCAAAGTTATTTTCTTTCTCACATTATGGATTACCACAAGATATCTGCAACCACCACGGAATTTTAAAACAATAGATACATTTGACAATGCTTTGTTTGTGCTCATAATGTCAATCTTATGCTAATGATGCCGTGTATGGGACATTAGAAGTTCAGAAATTTGACAAACTGTTTGTTGAAACGAATTTGTTTTCTTTGGTCATAAGTCTAATCGATGGAACATAGGATGGTCAACAATGATGGATTCAGATAAAAAGCGAAATTATCTTACATTACGATTTTGTCCTATAACATGGTCATCACAGAACGGTTCTTTAATAGGTATGAGATTTGGATATTTTAATATTTTGCAAGCTTTAACAAAAATTACACTGCATCGGCCCGGACATAGCCGAAGTTGCTAAGGCTGAAGAGCCGTAGTTGCCTCGTGCCTGAAGGTTCGACGGGTTCGAATCCCGCCCGGCGCATGGATGCTTGTGTGTGTCAGAGTACCGTTACCGTTACCCCCAATATTACTTACGCTATGGTGGCTACTATGGTGGCTACGCTTGGTGGCTGATCGCTATATCGCTATATAACCTTGGTAATTGAAAAGCTACCTAAAATAGGTAATAAAAAAAATTTCATTTTCTAACAAAGTGTCTAAAGCGCATGAAACCCGTAACTTAGGAAAAGAAATGGAAGATTTTGAATTTGTTTCCATGTAGTACTACATTTCAAAATACTATCATCAATTAACACGGTTTCGAAATATCTTCTAAGCCTTAATTTGGATTTGCGAACGTCACAGAATTTACGCGATGGAATTTACAAAGAATTAGAAACAGTTCTGAATCACTATGATGATTTAAAAAATAATCCAATAGAATTATTCCAAGTCTGAAAAGTAGAAGTGAAATTTAGCGACAAACGAGAGCAGAAAACATTTTAGCGAACTTGGCGAAGATCAATGACTCACTGACGACGAACGAAGATACGAACTTTATGTTAACAATGGATGCCTAGTTATTGTCGTTAACCAATTGGAGCGACGATTTGTGTTGAAAAATACAGTGGCAATTTTTAAAATGATCCAGCCACGAGTTTTGATAGGTCTTAGGACGATGAAACGTACCAAGAAGCACAAAAATTTCAATCAAAATACCCTGCCGATGTTACGGAAATCTGGTCTCAGTTATTGTCTTTGATTGTTTGTTTAAAGAGTCAAATTTCAAAACTAAGGTCTGTAAAAGATTTTTTCAAACTTCTTAATAATTAAACATTGCTCATTATTAACAACTTTTCTCGATGTGTCTACAAATAAATGTTGCTACATCCCAACACTCCAAAATTAAGACATCAAAATAGGGTTGGTAAAGTTAGCACACCCATTTGCCCAAACCTAAACATTTTTATACCTTCAAAACATGAGAATTTGGGGGCCATTTTGGGCTTCAATAATTTTCAAAATTTCCAAACTCACCCCTAATTATGAGAACAAAAAATGAAAATCATCACAATTTCCCAAAATTTTAAATTTCTTGCTCCATAAATATGGGATACTTTCAATAGCAAACTCACTTTTTACTACCCCACAACCCCCAGAAATTGAGGTTTCAAAAAGGGGGTAGGAAGGTTAGCACCCTCACTCAAAATTCAAAACTTTTTATACCACTAAAACAAACGAATTTTTGGCTCCCTTATAATCACTTAAAGAAAACAAAAAGACTACCAGAACAAAAATGAAAACTGCAATTTCTCAAAATTCAAATATTCTTGCGACTATATTTGGGGTAATGTTGGGCCAAAAATATTTCTTTTGCTCCCTCCGAAATTGAGGTGATTAGTGTTTACTGGCACGTCAATTCCTAAGATCATTAGTCCCGTAAGTGTAGTACATGTTTTAAGGCTGACTGTGGCTGTGATCTTTCTCCGCTGGATAGCGAAATCCACCGCCGGTCTACACGTCCCCGGTTTACAGTTTTCCCCTACCAGGTTCCTCCCACCAGCGGGGCACCACCTCCGCCGGAACAAGCTCTGGACTGGTCTCCCGATATGCGTGATAGAGCAGTGTATATAAGTGTAAGTGTGTTTACACACACTTCGAATCTAGGACATCCCGCTCAGAGGCATCAGTTGATGCACTGAACCACATCTCCCGGTGGAAGCGGTAAGGATTAGGGATGCGACATCGATATTGATGTTTTAAAGCCGATGTTTTTTAACATCGATGTTTTTACGTTTCCGTTTTTGTCTGAAAATGAAACAGTATAATAATCACAATTTTGTAGGAGATAAAGTATTGACATGTAACCGATGATTGACGTGTTCGAAAGGAACGGACCGTCATCAAGCAGAGCAGAGCATCTCTTGACTGAGCGATGATCCCGATTCCCTGACTTCGTTTCACGCGGATAGGTCAACGTATGCGGCGCCATTGGCATAGGTCAGTAGGCGCCCCCTTCTTCAGGTTCCCTTTTCGGCGAACTGAGAAAGCTCTGAATCCCTGAGATGATTCTGAACGCTCAGGTTTTCAGGCTCATAATCTCACTAGGATGTGAAGTTAGTAGATATCAGTGCTATTCGTGTGCAATTAAAAAAAATGCAATAAAAAGGATTGGGGCCTAAAATATTTATAAATAAACAAGTGTTAATTGCGTTATCGTCGACAAAATAATATAATAAGTCATATTTTTATATTACTCTTGTTATCATAAAAGTTTTGTTAAATGTCAATATTTTATTTTTTATTTTTTTGACAGTTATATCTTACTTAGACATTCCACGCGACCTTTAGTATCGAATTCAATTTTTCTCCGCACCAAAATTACTAGACGCTATTAAATCAGATTTTAAAACATCGATGGTTTTTGAACGATGTTTTAACATCGATGTCTTAAAACATCGATGTTTTGTTATCGATATCGAATCCCTAGTAAGGATAGGATAAGGAAGAGAAAGGAAAGGTCGCGCGCTGTTCGTGGTCAGTTTGTTGGGGTACTGCTCCGGCATTTGGCTGGTATTGATACGAGGAACCTCACTGCTAACTCAAAATCCAAAACTTGTTATATTATTGAAACAAATGAATTGTGGTTTACATAGAGACTCATTTGAAAATATAAAAACACTCCCATATCAACAGGAATAAAAAATGAAAAACACATCAATTTCTCAAAACTCACATATTCTTGCACTATAGTTTTGTATTAATTTTGGGCTAATTAGAGATACCAAAAACATATTTTTTCTACCCTATAACTTCCTGAAATTATGGTTTCAAAAAGGGGGATGGTTAAACTAGTACCCCCTCTAATTCAAAATTCAAATATTTTTATACCCTCCAAGTAAGCGAATTTTAGGACACTTCGAGACA